TTTTATTAAAATGTAATTCTGCCAGCCCATTTCTACAAACAAATATTATATTTTTAATTGTGTTGGGATTGTCACCTGTGGACATTTTAAACTGTTTTACATATTCGTGCAGAGGCATAGCCTCTAAAGAAAGGTTGTCTCTGCAATGGAAATAGTTGTTCCTGGTGATTAGACATGGCAAGAAAAATTGGACTTGTATCCAGATGTTTATCTGGATACAAGTCCAATTTTTCTTGCCATGTCTAATCACCAGGAACAACTATTTCCATTGCAAAGACAACCTTTCTTTAGAGGCTATGCCTCTGCACAAATATGTAAAATAGTTTAAAATGTCCACAGGTGACAATCCCAACAGGTGTTTTACTTTTTATTAAATATAGTATTTACATTTCTAAATTTTTTATAGATTATAAATAGTTTCCAAAATATATAGGATACATATTTTTACCTTAGGTAAGGAATCTAATATTAAACTTGTGATAGCTGCATCTCCATACTGTTTATAAGCAGCTGCTTTCATTCTCATTTGCTCAGCTTCTGCTTTACCAACTGCTTCAATTGCATAAGCTTCAGCTCCACCAATCATTTTAATTTTTTCTGCATCAGCTCTTGCAACCTCAACTGTCTGTGTTCTAAAATAAAAATTTGATTACTGTTTATGTTTCACAAAATGTTTGATATATATACACTAATGAAACATGCTTTATCTATCAAAACTGGAAATACTTTTAATTATATTAATAATAGTATGATGATGATTGCTATTACTTTTGCACAATATATTGATGCTTTTGAACAATATTTAAAAATAATAGAACAGATTCATTTTTAAATATTGTTCGGAAGCATCAATTTCTGTTATTCTTCTTCTTTTGATCTACTAAGTAAGCTGCAATATGAATAATTCTCACAATTCTAAAAAAAGAAAGTGTGATCATGACGAACCCTCAATTGAGAGAGTCCATCCTTCAAACTGGAAGTTGGTTTGCCATCTCAAAGATGTGTTTGATGACACAGGAAAGGTTCTCCCCAAGAAACATCAAAATATTCATAGCAGAAGATGGACAGGATGCTGAAGAATTAGTAAATGCACTGTATATCCTGTCATGATTACAACCAAGCATATAAATTTTAAAAAAATTATTATAATATATTATACATATTAGACAAAATTTGCTCGATTCTGATTTGGAAAATGCCTAATTTTTCTGATTCCCAAGCCATTTTTTGAAAACATGCAGTAAGGTTCCATATTACCACCCGATTTTCTCTAAGCCTACTTTCTGACTTTTCGTACAAAAGCCTTCAAAAACCATACTTATAGTTACACTAGCAAAAAATCCAATTAGGAACATTTGGTTTAATAGTTACCAGTACTTTTCGCACAAAAAATGTGGGTGTAGTTATGATACCTTGTTTACAATTCACTAAAATGAAAATGGGGTTCCATAATACCACCTTATTCTCTACAATAATAATGATGTTCTTATATGTATGATAATCAGTCAAATCAATTTCAAGTCAAGAAGTTTTTATCATCTTCATAAAAGGCAAACATTTCACACAAAGTAACTGAATGAATTCAAAACAAATATAAGTTATGTACAGTACACTATACTGTTTTATTAACACAGTAACATTTTTCTGTTTGAATTGTCAAATGGCAGGGATTAAACCCCAAAACAATCCAATGAGAAAAGCAGTGTGTCATAACATTCTACTTTTCTCTTCAAAGTAGAATGTTTGTGTTGCTCCATTTATAATTATGGCTTGCTACATATTGACATCTTCTTTCTTACATAAAGAAAGAGAAATACCAACTTCCAATTTCTTCACTCATTAGTCAATAGATGATAGTATAATTTTACATTGCAGAAAAAGAAGGTGGCATTATCATCTGTTAGTTTCTATAATTTTTAAAGCCATTTAATGGACAGTTTTTTCTTTTATTCCATTAACTGTCACTCTTCTGTGTTTCCCTAAACTTTTCAATATAGACCTTTCCTGCATGCAATCATAACTAAAATAGAAAATATAAGTACCTTCTGCTTTAGCTTTGTTTAATGAATTGCAATTTATCAGTAAAAGTATCAAGTAATAGCTACAAGATACAGACTAATAAAAGTCATAGTAAAATAAGATAGCAAAGATCCATTTAATGTATCATTTTCTGAAAAATGATCAGGGTTTTCCAGATTAATTAAAACATAAATTTTAATTAATCTCAAAAAGACATTTACCTTCTTCTTAGATCAGCTATTAACTCATGATTCTTTTTGCATAAAACTTTAAAAATAGGAAACCTTGATCTAATATTTAGATCTATAAAAAATTCCATTAATTAAATGACCTTGCTTATACATGTAAATGTGAAACTAATCCTATCACTATGTAATTGTGTTTCATGACACATAACATGAAGAACATTTATTATGATTTCTTACCTTTAGTAATTTTTATGCTTAGTTATTAGTTACATTCATGGCTAATAAAATCATATTACAAAAGTTTCATACTTAATATTATCAAAAAAATGTAATAAATGATATAACTGTTTTATGTAAAAATACCTTTTCCCCTGTGCAATCATTTCTAATCTGTAAGCTTCTGCCTCCGCTGGAAGACGAATTGTAGCAGTGAGTTCTTTTTCCTTTCGAGCTATCTCTTTTTCTTCTACATCAATTTGCTTTCTTCTTTCAACAACATCTATTTCTATTTCTTCACTCCTTATTTTCTGCTTCATTTTTGCAGCTTGAAGTTCATATGCTAACTGTGCTTCAGCTTTCTACATATACATAAGAAAATTCTACTTAAACTATTTGAAATTTTTAAAACAAATATCATTTACTAATTAATTGTTCTGTTAATATGAGACATCAATATACTAATGACTAAACAACTGATCAATTTTGCTCATTACAGATAGAGCTATCATGAATGATAGGATTTAAACCAATAATTTTCAAAACAATAGAAAAATATAGCATCCAGATTATTACATAATGAAATAGCTAGATGTAATGCTGGCTGATTAAAAATATTTATTAAATGGATAATATTTCAAACATTAAATCAACTACAGGTATCAAATTTATTATTATACAAATATCACTGCATAAATTCTGGATATCAACTTTAGCCAAATATTAAAATAAAACTTTTTTAAAGAAATTAAATTTCCTTAAATTGTAATTTTTATGAACTTTTATATGATTATATTACAAAAATAACAACATATTATTCAAAAATATAATTCTGAATACTCAACAGAAATAAAATTTAATCGAATTTTATTGAAATATAGAGAAATAAGAAATGATTCATGTCAGTAAAGCTGACTTACATGCAACATGTATACAAACAGCAGAATCCACTTATTGTACAGTCGACCCCCCTATAATTACGGTCCCTATAGTTACGATTCCTATAAAACTACGAAAAAATTGCTACCGGTATCCGTAAAAAATAGTAAAAGTTCCCTATAAACACCTCAAACGTCATCGGGCAGCCGAACTACTTTCCCGCCGTCCGTAGCGCCACGCTACGGAGAGATTTCTATCGTCTGGACAGTATTATATAAATTATATATAAATTAGGTACTGTACATATAATTATATATTAATTATATATAAATTAGGTACTGTATATATAATTATATATTAACTTATTGTAACTTTGTTATAATTAAATATATAATTTCCGCCGTCTAGCGTGGCGCCACGCTACGGAGATTTTTACGCTAACTATCGTCTGTCAGTATGTAAATTAGGTACCGTAAGTCTAATACAGTACTGTAATTTTATACATTTCTTGTGAAAGAAACATTTCTTATTCAACGGCGATTAAAATTATTTATATTAATGATGTCTCCGAAGTTCTACGAAGTTTTCACAGAAAAATAAGTTGTTAGAAATCGGCCGCTCTTTGCTGAGCTGTTCCGCGACGAAAACAATGTTGAGCAATGGCAATGTCGAATGGTGACACTCGGTAAGTAATCCTACAATTTTTTGTTTATAGCGTAGTTTATACGGATTATTCCCAAAAAATATATACGTATTTTGGAAATGTTGAGTCAGATTAGTCTAGAATCGATTAATTTTATGGAAGAAAACCTTTCAAACAGCCGTAGTCCGTAAACTTGACACGTGTCGGGTTGTGATTGGAAGGATTCGTAAGAAAGCGGATTCCTAGAGAATGGAACGTATCTCTATCTTATAGGGGGGTCGACTGTAATTACTTCAGGACTTGCCTATACTGATAATGATCAACCAGTAACATTAAGTGGAATAAATAAAGACCACAGGTGCAGAATATGTCAGATTGCATGAACATGATTAGGGAAAATTGCAGTAGAAAAATATTATCATGGATACAGCCACAAAATCATTACAATAAAGCCAAGGAGCATCCTAGCTAATCCTACAGACATTGATTGGGGGAAATTTGCCAAAATGCAGTGAAATCCAGTGTTTTAAAAATGAAATTAGAACATTCAATGTCTAAATACCTAGCTGAAAAAAAATTAAGCATGCACAAATGTTATGAGTGCAAGGTGTGTGTATCACTGTGAGGCAAGTATTGCAATCAACATGACTGCAGTACTTGGTGCACATTCAAATGACAAGTCCCCATAACAAATTTCTGGTAGCAAGGGATGATGGGAAGTGTTGCTTGCTTGCTTTATTTCTTAGCCATGTAAGTAGGCAGCAATGATGTGTGTGTGTGTGATCAGTAGAGATAGTTGATATGTCATAAATTTTTACAAAAAACTATAACTGAAACAGATCGTCTGTTTTATTTCTAAACACTTTCCAACACTATTTAATGTGTGAAATTTTATCAGCTTGAATTAAAACAAAATACTCACTCATTCCCCACTTGGAAAATTTGCATATTAAATAAACTGTGCTTATAAACTTTTGGTGCAAGTTTTGTAAGTTAACTTTTCAGAAAAAATTGCACAACCATTATCATAAAAAAATTTTGTATTTTCGAATGTTAAAAAATCCACTAATTAGCATCCCTCAGTAAAAATAGGTCATCCATTATGTTGATGATGATGCCTCTCGTGTTGACTTTATTTCAATTAATAAACACAATACATCAAGTCTATAATTGTATATGCTATCCAATGATGATATGTGCTTAAATTAATTAAAGCATTCTTTTAATCTAAAAAAAATTTAAGTTAGTGTTGTGCAGCAAATTATACAGTAGATCTATATAATTATTTGTAGGATTATATTTAAATTTTAATACTATGTAGTATTCCAAATTACTACACAGTTTGTAATTTGTTCATAAAATGTTTTATTTTGTGTGTTAATATGCAATTATGCAATTTTTCCACAGTGGTTTTTTTTTTGAGATCCTGTAATAAGCAGAAAAAATACACAAATGGATAGTATGAAGCATGAGAATATTGGGGATGCACAGCTGAGTATGTCAATTTAGTAAAAAATAGTCACAAAAAAACTACTATATGTGGAAAATTTCCATTATTTCTAGTAAAATATAAAAAAATTAATCATTAAACTTACCCTTGAGTTGACTTCTCCATCAAAATTTGCCTTTTGTAGTTGATATAAACGATGAGAATCTTCAATTTTAGTATCTGCTCCATATTTCACATCCATAGATGATTTTTCACATTCAGCTTCCTGTATTATTCAAATATTTAATAAAGATATTTAAATTTTTATAACTATATACATAAAAAAGTTGCATCTAATAAAATTCTACAAACATAAAAACTTATTTGAATTTAATTTTAAAAGTATTTACTCTTATTCCAGCATCTCTTTCTGCTTGAGCAACCCCAATGTCTGCATCTCGTTTGACAGCAGCAGTTCTAGATTTTCCTAATGATGCTAAATATTCAACTTTATCAAAAACATCTTTAATTGTGAAACTCAAAATTTCAATTCCCATTCTCCCAACATCTGGTGCTGCCACATCTCGAACCAGTGAGGCAAACTGATCTCTATCCCTGTATACTTCTTCCACAGACAAGGTACCTAAAATTATTTACACATTTAGTAAACGTCTTTCAAAATAATCTAAACTTATAAACGTGAATAATTTTCACATTCGCTGAATACACAGGATGTTCCACTTAAAATTGGCCTGAGTGAGATATTGAAACGTTATAAATTCAAATTTTATAGAGGATATTTAAAATATAAAGTGTTAGAGACCATCCCAGAACTATAAACAAACTGCAGAAAAGAATTTGCAGAAGAATTGAGGCTATTGGCATCAGTATTTTACATAAAGCCAGTCTGAATATCATTACACATACACAAAGGGGATAGATGCATAGATGCACTTTCAGCATTTTCTTTAACTTTTTATATGTTTAAATAATGTTAAGATAAAGTTTCTAATGAGTGTCCTTTGCCTAAGTTCATTTGTATTGTTTCCAGTTAGTCGGGCTGATTTTATGCAGGACACCATATATCTTTAAACTGTTGACAATATACACGACCAATATTTTAACGTAACTATAAAAATCATTTTTCAATCTAATAATTACTAGCATTTTTTTAAAATGTTTATCCTAATTGTTTGTATAAGATATTTTTTGATCTAAGCATAACAAGTTTATCTACAGCAATAATCTATTAGCAATTCATCATCATAGTTACTTTTCATATTAAAAATATGACTTGTTTTAAATTATTTTTTTAAAAATTTATTCATTTTAGAACATAAGATAGTAAACATTATAGCTATCTCTTATTGAATTTAACTAATTTTTTTTTTTTTTAAACAATCTTTCCTTTCCGATGGTATCAGAGAAGATTAGAATTTACTGATATCTATAGTAACTGCAAATTTCATAACATTTGAGTCTGATATGAGTTACAAAACTTATTTTCAATACAATATTTACTATCTAATCTATATTTTATTTACATAATCAGCTTTTAACTCTTAATTTTAAATGTAATCTTAATCTTTTTTAAAACAAGTTATTCTTCTCTAAGAGTATCATAAAATAAAAAATGTTTAAATTTAAACAATTGCTACAGAAATTAACATTGAGTTGATGATTTTAAGAGAGTAAAAAATACTTGAAGTCTATTGTTAACTGTAATCACTATCATTTTGATTGTTCTTTTATAAAAAAATACTTTAAATTTTTAACCTATAAAAACTAAATTTACTTTTTCTTCATAACAGTTATTAGCTAATATCCTAATCTCATTTATATCCTAATCAAAATATAGTTTAACATTTTAACTATTAAAGTATATTTTGAAAAATTGTTTACCATTCAGATGTAATTATCTCATAAAAACTATTTGCTAGTTCTATACTTGAATTGAAAACTAAACTTAAATGTCATCTTTTAAGCTGTTTACATCTTAAAAACAACTTGTAGTTTGGAACAGTGCCAAATACTTTAATATTTACAGTAAGAATGAATCCCTTATAAGATTATCATCATCTTTAAACTCAAGCAGAATATAAAAAAATCTTACAAATTTATTTATTATTCTTTTATTACACATAAATGAATAATAAAAGTTTATTTATTATTCTTTTATTACACATAAATGAATTCTTTCCATATTTGCAAAAAAGACATCAGAAAATTTATGTATGTAATTTATATAGTAAGTTAGATTATTTTAAAAAGTAGACTTTATATTTTTGATTTTTAATTAATACATATAAAATACTTAGAACAAAATATAAATATAATTGTCTACATATATAAGTTTTGAATAAAATAAACATGAATATTATTATAAGAAATTTAAACTATCTTAAATAGTAGTGTTACTTTTTTAAAATATTTTATATTTATAAATTTAGTTACTAATATTTTTTGTTTTAATTTACTTGAAGGATGCAATTACAATTAAAGGATGACAAATTAGCATTTAAAATGAGAAACTGTACAAATAATTGAAAAACAAACTTCAAAAATGAAATTCAATGTAAATGACATGTATATTTTGTGTGTTATTCTTTCTTCTCTTCTATAAATTAAGATAAAAAGATTTGTAATTACGAGACTTGTTAGTAATGAATCAGAATAATTATATATCTATTATTTTGAATATACATGCAAAAAAGAGAAGTGGTAGCAACCTACTACAATATCTCTTAGTCATTGTTTTATTATATGAGCTAACAATTAAATTACAATAAAAAATTATATTCTTGCCAAATTTCTATTTTTTTTTTGATACTTTTAATTCAAACAAATTCTGTCAATTGATATTAGTCAGAATCATTTAAAAATGGCAAGTGTTCAGTTTAGTAAAGTGGCAAGCTAAGCTAAGTATTATTCTGATGGGATAAAATAAATTAGTTCTTCACTTATAAAAAATAAATAAATGTATGGACTTGTATGTTAACAAGTACCAAATAAAAGGAAATTCTACATAAATTTATGCTCTACACAAATAGTCCCAGATGAAATTTATACAAGAATTAATGAAAAAACATTAAAATGGACTTAAAATGTTTTACTTTAGTCTGATGCATTTGAACAAAACAGTAAAATTTTATATCATATCAAGTACAACATTACTTGAGAATAATATATACAAACCAGAGTATTCATCACAGTAAGTAATAATCAGTAGTTCCCATTGTTTGAAATGTCAGAAGCTGAAGCAGCACAGTTTGCTGAATCAACAGTCAAATTCAGTGGCACTAAGAATGAGTTAATCTAACCATTCACTGTCTACAAAAATACAAAACCACATATTGTATATCAATCTATACTAATATTATAAAGAGGTAAAGTTTGTAAGTTTGGACGTAAGAGGTAATTTCCGAAACTACTCATCCGATTTCAAAAATTCTCTCACCAATATTTAGAATGGACCTTCAGGGTGGACATAGGCTGTATATCATTCTTTTAAACATTCATATAAATTAAAAGATATTATCTAGGTAAGCATTATATTTTTGGTGTCAGCGGGTGGCGAGGGGCAAGACGCATATGTATATGAGATAGGTAACTGCGCGGTGGATATGCAGTATACGTGTCCAAACTTGTAGTATATAAAGTTGACATGGGGAATGCATGCACATAAGTTGGCTTTATTTGAACTCTTAGTCTTAATGTTCAATTTTATGCCCGAATTTATATATTTATGAATGATTCGAAAAGATCCAACTTATTTTTCGAATTTAAAAAACTAGTAAACTAGAAGAACCCAGAAGGGGTTATAAAAGTGTTTGTCATTTATTATTTATCACTTAGTGGTACTATGCACTGGTTAGTGGTTGCTGTGAATCTTAATTATCGTTATCCCAGTGTGGTAAGAAGATATCTAAAAATTTTCTAATTAGTCTCGGAAGAGGGGGACCTAATTCTTGCACTCAATGAAAATGGGTAAGATCGGCTATAATCTAACAATCTTAATCTTTGCTATCGTTTTTGTTTGAGCAATGGCTGGCTCATCTGCTAGTCTCACATAAAATAAGATTCCACTGTGATTCTACTTATTGTGATAACTATTTTATTTTTACCATAATTTCTGTTTGTGCATTGTTAATTATAACTAATTACTTATATTATACTTTTGTTGACTTTGGACATTCTTGAGAACTAGAACTTGTTACACTGAGGAAAGAGAAAAAAAACGATCTCAAATTAAAACAAATTTAATATAACATAATCCTGATTATGTCGACAAAAGTATAATATACCTTATAAAGCAAATTATTGTTTGTGTAGAAATTTGTATATTTGCATGACTGATTTTTTTTTCTTTTGTATATGATGATTTCACATCTTTTTCTCAAGATATTAATAAATAAAGTGATACAGATTTATATAGTCATTATAAAATGAGATATTTTGTTCAGAAAAATATTTTGTATAGCTTAATGTGAAACCTAACATTCTTTTCATTCCAAAAATATATAAAAAGTGTTTATTGCATTCTTTTCATCTAACAGTAGTCCTAATACAACTATCACGTAAATATATATTTTTATTGGAACACACTGTTTACATCTTTCAAGCACTATATCTGAAATTTGAATAAGCAACGATAATACTAAATTATTTTACTAGAGTTATATTTCCTATCTATATATCAATTTTTATTCGAATCCAAGAACTACCATAACTTAATTTTCTTTCATAAGTTTAAAGTATGCTAACAGAAAATAATAGTAACTGCATATCTTCTAATCAGATCTTAAACAAATTTCTAATATAAAAGCTGTCATCTGTTTGTGTGAATTCCTTATATAACTTCTGCAATTTTTCTCCATTCCAGATAAAATTTTTATGTTTTGACAGAAAGTATAGGCTACTTATTTTGCAGAAATATTAGCTATGGAATAAACATTTTATCAATTTTAGATTGATAATTGTATTTACATTGCAGTGACATCAGTGACCACATGACGTTCAAGCTCAACAAGGAAATTTCCCTTAACTTGCATTTTTAAATATTTTGGCAAATGGCATATTTTAAACTTACTTCATTAAATTTAAAATTTAAACTTTAAAGAAAGATAGCCTCGTCGTGTCACTTCTATAACAAATTTTAAAAAAATCTTTTCATAGTGACCATGTGACATTCTAATATTCAATTGGAAGTAACAATCTAACGAGCCTGTTATTCAGAAAGTGTTATTGCTCATCTAACTGATGTATATAAAATTTATCTTTGTGGAATTAAGAAATAGTTTTGTCAATGGCTGCAGAAACAGCATCTTGTCAATCATCAAAACAGTATTAAGGTGTCTATTATTAAAGGAAGACACAAGGAAATCTTTTAAAAGACAATAGAGTGTTTAAAGAAATTTTATAAAGAAAGATTTTAATATTATTTTAATATAAAGGCCATTATCTGTTTATGTGTGTTTAAATTACTTCTCTATGGCTCCTAATATTTTTGTTCACTCCATGTGAAATTTTCTTTTCTTACTCTTTATGTTACAACAGATACGATAAACTACTTAATTTGTAAAAATATTAACAACTCTTCTTGAGTTTCTTCAATCTCTACTTTCTCATAAAAACTATTCAGTCATTCTTGACGGGAGAATTTCTAGTAATTAATATGAAATTCAATGTGCCAATTGTTATTAAAGTATAGAATAATAAAGACCTTCAATTTGGAAAAACAATAAAAAAACTGCTTATGTTTCATCATTAATTATTGCTTAATGATTTTAATATAATGAATAGCTTTGTTGCAATATTATTTGGATTCTTAAAAAATTATATTTTTCAGCTTAAAAGATTTTTTCTTAAGAACTTTTCAACTCACTAATGTATAACATAACATCATCATCATCACATATTTACATACATAATCGAATATAATGTATATGTTAAATACATTATATCAATAAATATTTTTATTGTTATATTTTAAATCATATTACTTAATTTTTTTTAAAATATTTACAAAAATTAATATAATTACATACCCAAAATTGCTCTTAGATGACCTTCTAAAGTTTGTAGTATAACACTTTTAATATGTTCAACTTCTTTGCCTAAAAACTGTTCAGCTGCAGTGGAAAGAAATTCTTTTTCCCTCATTACTTTACATTGTGCTACTCCAGTTACAGTAAGAGGAACACCTTGGGCAGTTTCTACATGCTCACATCTTGGATTTAAAGTCATTACTTCCAAAGAGAGCCTTTATGGATAATCATTAATTAATAAATTTTTATCAAACATAATTATTTGTATATGTATCATTGTAATTAACTATCACAAATTTAAATTAAATGCCTATAATTAATTTTAAAGAACTTATGAAAACTAAATCCCAGTATCAGTACAATAATAAATAGATTAACACTGACGAAAAAATTCAAATGTAATATGTAAATAACTTTATTAATATTTCTCAAAAAATAAATCACTAATTTTATAAATTTAAATGAGTGAATAAAATCTTCAAATTCAGTAAAACTTTGTGAATGAATAAAATCGTCCAGCTGAGTTTATAAGTTATCAATCTGATAAAACAGTTTTGTTGCTAAGTTTTATCAACAATTATGAATTAAAGAAAAAAAATAAACTTATGAATAAGTGCAGATAAGATAAATGATTAAAACTCTTCAGTATAACAATAAATGTTTCATTTACTATTGTTGTAATTTTATTTTTTATAAAATATTTACAAACTTATAAGTTTGTAAATATTTTATTATAAGTAAAATTAAATTTTTCAACCTGATAAAAAAAAACAATGAAATTAATCTGAAACCATTTAAAACTGAAATTTAACTTGCATCACACGCAGTTAAGACAAAAATTACCATATAATTATAATGCAGTTGAGATTAAATTTATAATTCTCACCTTTGAACATCAGTTACTAGCCACCAAGCCCATGCCCAGCTACCAACAATCATGGTTTTGTTTTGAGAGCCACAACATCCTCCTAAAATTTATATACATACAAGTATTAGTTAAAATGTTTAATATTTAAAAAACATTAAACATGATTAAAAATAGTTTGTATCATATAATAAACTTTCAGTGAGTTATTTTTCTATTTTTATAAATTATAAATATTATCTATTATGAGATAAATGCTATTTTATTAGAAATAAAATTCCTTCAACTTCCGCACATCCTTTCAACATTAATAAAATGAAACAAAAACATCTTTCCTTCAATTTTCTGAAAAAATTCTTTTTATTGCCTTTGTCGAAACAGCCTCAATCGAATCAACACAACAGTAGTAGGGTCCCCTGAGAATTTCTTGTATTTAGTAAAAAAACCGAGTACTATCACTGAAACTTTATTTTTTTCTACCACAGATTTGTCATCCAATAAGCTTTATTTCCTTGTGTTTTGAATTAATACATTCTTATCATTATTGTTATATAAATATTAACAAATAGTTTTGTTGATAATTTTTAATTACAATACTAAAAATCTTATAATAATTTGTTGTAAACTGAAAAGTAAAGTACTTATGACACTTATCGATATTTTAAGAAACCAAAAGAAATCTCTTAAAATTCTAAAAATAAAAGAATTTTAATTGGACGATTTATATACTCCGTGAAGTTTAATGAGTAAAACCAAAGAAATTGAAATAGAGATTTAAAAAAATGGAAGAAATCTGCTTTAAAAGTTAAAACAAAATAAAACACAATTATCCTTCACAAATATGCACATTACAAAATACATATTTTGATGACCTTGACATGGTTAACCTATTGTCAGGCATTATCAAGCAAGAACAAAACCTGTTGACAATAATAGAAATACATTCTGAAAATATTACTTTCATCTATTATTTATGAATTTACAATATTCTAAGAACTGGATACTTAATAAACAACACACAAAATATCCTTTGAGTCCAGCAACTAATTTCTTCTATGCAAATGTTTTTGGCCCTCTTTACTGGCCATCATCATGCGGTAAAAAGGGATGAAATCATTACAAGTTTTTATTTGAAAAATGTGAAATGTTATTTCACATATATATAATGCTAAAATTTATAGAAATAGTAAAAACATATTATTTTTGGTATAATCAAAAATAATACATAAACTTTTGTTTTTTTTTTTATTTTTAATCCAACTTTCCTATATATTTATTTACATAATTTAATTATTTTTTTTAATACTGAATTCACTAATATACCATAAGTTCAATTTTGGTCAATTTTTTCTCTTTAATACATAAAAAAAATATGCAGAAAATGTCAGTTAAAATAAAAGGTTGTCTAACCTTTTAAGAGAACAATCCTCAGCAAAATTTACCAGGTCAATAGAAAAGAATGGTGATTTTTTTTTATAAAAAAAAACAAAAAAATCTTGTATTTTGTGCATTAGTCATCACTTATCTTGTTGCCCAGATGTCCAGTGCCCAGTCGACCATCACCAAGTTGACTGTGCCCTGTATTGAACTATAGGTTGACTTATAATGTACACATGAGAGCAATTTCCATCTTGAGAGACTGTTCAATTGGCTGTAAATGCACCCTATATTTGCTATACAATATACTAGTATTGACCAGTAAATAACTCAAGAATGTCAAAAATCACCTACTTTAATCAGGAACATTTGTTACATTGTGCCTCTAAAGCAGGACGTTTCTATGTCCCATAAGTATTTGGGGGACAGCAGGACTGTCCTGCCTAAATTGGAACATAGGGCTATGTTATATATAACATCATATAATAAACATTATACATTACATAGTAAACTAGATAGAAAAATATATTTTTCTACCTTTCTATCTAGTTTACTATATAATGTATTATTGTGATTAACTAAGCTTAATGAAAATTTGGTTAAATGAAGGTCCTGCCAGTAGATCCCACAGCCTGACAGCAGTAATATAGGCTAGTTCTGCTCATTTTTGAATACTACTTGATAAAGAAAATTATTATTAAACAGGATGATTTATTAACATAAAATGCACTGACATGTTAATTATAATTTTACATTGTCCAGATTAATCAAAAAGCATACTATCTGAAAAAAAAATTTAAATAATACTTGAGATTCACATAATTATTGAGTTTTAGTACTTGAATTTCAATATTTTGTACTTCACAAACTAACAGCAGACTCTCACTATTTACCAAAAGTTGCTTTTGACCAGTAATGATTTGTTTCCATCAAAAAAGGTAACAAGAACATATATATGTGCACCCAAGAGAATTTTCCATTTTAAAAATGTACACAGCATGCTCTCATTTCTTTCAATTTTACTGCATTAGAAGGAGGCAAGGAGCAACTGAGATCAACCAGAGACCAAGTGGTATCCCCAATCAAGAGTTACAAGACCTGTTTCAAGGGCCAACTGGAAGTGTCCACCAGTCTTTCATAGAAGTTTTTTGTCTAATCTATGGTTAATAAATCAAGTTATATTGAAGTTTTCCATTCAGATTATTAGATTTAGTTGATTATACTCATTATATTATTGTGACTGTTTAACAAATAAAAAAGTTACTGCTTTGTGCTTTGTTAAAAGCACAAAGCAGTAACTTTGCATTTTTAATCCTATCTAGATAGACCTTGTCAAAATTAACTTATATAAAATTTCATTTTATTTTGTTCAAAAAAATATATAATTGTGACAGGTCCAGAAAAGAAGAGGGCCAGAAAGATAAGGCAATTTGTTTTCAGCCTCAGACACAGAGGATCTCAAAATTTAGTCTTTTATATAAAAAACATGATACAAAAGCAATATAAATTAAAGTTTCTTTTAATAAATAGTAGAAAATCTTTATTATTTGCTTTATTAATTTTGTTCAAATATTTTTATGGCTTTCAGAGAGGAATGACTTCATATTTTTGACTGATCCAGACCTTGAATACTGAAATATTGACTTATCATGCATGACTAATAATGATATACAAAAAAAATATCTGTATTAAACAAAATCTGTTTACTATATATATAGAGAGAGTAAACAGATTTTGTTTGTAATACAGATATTTATGATTACTGAATTAATGGCCCATCCAACAATAGTTGATATAATTTTGTGATTTCAAAGTAATTAAAACAGTTTCAAATAAAACAATCTCATTCAGATTCTGATCAGTATCTATGCTCTATAGGTAATTATTAAGAGTATTCCAAAACCAATATCTAAATTAACATTTCCCATTAATTCAGTATTCATTTCTACAATTATAATCTGTATATCTCATATGACAGGTCAGTTTAATACACATCTAGCAGCATTAACATATATTGAGTTTTTTTCCTTAGAAAATGTTATCATCAAATATTTCAATATGAGTTTTCCTGGGATTAACATATGATTTTATAATGACTTTTTATTTGAAATATAGCTATCAGTAGGCATCATACATAAAAAAATGCACAGGACAGTTTGTTTTTGATCCATGTTTATTTTCAGTTCTGTTTGTGGGCAGGCAATTAAAGAATTTTAACAAAATACCATATGTTGTGTTCAAAATGTTTTAACACAAACCAAGTAGCCTCAAAAAATAGTTGATGCTTTCAAAAAGGTTTTAGTGTATTCCTGGTGTACTATATATACAGTGAAACCCCGGTTAACGAACATAATCCGTTCCACGAGTCCGTTCGTTAACCAAAGCAATTTTTCCCATAGAAATTAATGCAAATACAATTAATCCGTTCTAGCCGTCAGTATTTTTGTAATTTTATTTGTAAAATGGGTTTTCTTTAAAGAAAATATAGGAAAACATACTCATAAACAGTCGATCTACGTTAAATTTTCAGAAAAAAGGAAAGATTTGACGAGTATAAAAACATCACATACGATCGTTAAAGTTCTAAAATGACAGATAGCAGAAACAATACACTAAATTATGAGCGAAAGGCTTGTAGGTTTATCAACAATCTCTGATCAGAGTCGACGAACAGGTGTCAAATAAACGCCTCGGAACAAACCTTTCTCGTGACCTGATCTGGTTTCGGTTTTCACCTGGAGACAAAAAAGAAAACAATCGGGAAGCGAGGAATGGGACGCAGGACAAATCGTAAGGTGAGATTCAAGGAAGAAATACTATAAAAACCCCCGAATATCAAGGTCAAAACGCAGTTTTCCTAAAAATTCTATGGCGATTAATCTGTGTCATCTTTGTCTGGATTAAGCCTGAAGTCGTTTCCGCTAAAATTTGTGTTGTGTCTCGCGGACCGCTCCAGTCTTGCGGCTCTGTCACCTGCCATCGCTTCTGTGACCAAGCGAACCCATCTCGTCCGCTCTGAGGCTACGACTGATCAGCTAGCACTATCGTAGGACCAGCGATACGCCACTCCTCAGTGCCAAGAGAAAATACTGTAGATAAGCCATTTCCAACTACCTCAAGTATGTAAGCATCTTCCCGTTCTAATAAATGATTTTCTCTATAAAATACTTGTCATCTTTGTCTCCTCTGCCATCACCAACGTACAAATGGACCCTAGACCATCACCGACACACGATTAACTGATTTTCCCTAAAAGTCGGCAAGCTTACAAATTTGACACAAAAAGCTGTTAAGTTCGTTACCCGAATTTTGTTCGTTATCCGAAACAAAATTTTTGCAAAATAATAGTTCGTTAACCGATTTGGTCGTTAACCAGGACGTTCATTAACCGGGGTTCCACTGTACAAATATATATATTTTGAGCCTTGTAATATAATATAATATACAGTTGACCCCCCTATAACACGGGTTCCTATAGTTTGGATTCCTATATCATGGCGAAAAAATTGCGACAGTATTCGTACAAACACGCTAAAAAAAACTCATATGATTCGGTAAAATGTCATCGCCGACTCTTGTCGCGACAGGATTGGTCGAATCTAGACCAATAGCGGATATTGTACAAACCACTGAGTTTAAACAAGCAGTAGCCCTACTAAAAACCATTTATTATTTAACGTCCTTAAAAATTATATTTATATTAATGATGTCTCCAAAGTTCAGCGA